CGACTGAGCAACTAAGTGAGAGGTTTTTGCTACGATAGAGAGAAACAGCAACAAAGCTTTGCACCGGAATTTATTTATAAGCCATGTATTGTGTCGCATTAGGAAACCACAACCATGAGTTATGAGTTGTATACTGTGCCATCCTTCGGCAGGCTTCCATTGATCAAAAAGTCATCCATGGCTTTGCTAGTCTCCCCGAAGAGTATGTAACTGCTGTGGCCCGCCCCGTCTCTCCAAATAGTAACAGCAGAGGGAAGTTGGTTTCTGACAGCCTCCGCCCACACCGGGCTGGTCTCTGGGTCGTAGAACGCATTGACAAGCATCAGGGGAGGTAGTTTGGCGACCTGGCCGGCATCCAGCCGATGGGGTGGGTTGCGCACGGGAGTAGGCCAGCCAACGCAGTGCACCCTAGCATCTAGGGACTCGCTGGCCCCTCGTGTTAATGGGATGAGAGCGCTCGCGAGGTCCACGATTCGTTTCACGTCAGTGGCGGAGCGGATTGTGGTACCGTAGTCCTGGCACCACACAGCGCGGTTGGCGAACTTGGATTCGGAGGGGTTATCATCCACGTCCTTCTGGAATAGATTTCGAGAAAACGACGAGCCATCGCCGTTGGCTGCCGCGTACAGAACACCGGCGAGCGTTGACCAGTTCGCGTCTATGAAGCCCGCCTTCGACTCCTTGAAAGCTAGCCTATCCTCTGTGCCGAACAAAATATCTTCACCGGTGGCGACTGTCTTACAGGTGCCGTTACATTGAGGTGCAGGTATGGAAGAGTTGAGGACAGTAAGGTTCTTGAACAGAGCCGGAAGGTCCTTATCCGCGATGGGGCATTCATCAGGGCTCTCCTTGCACCAGGCAAAGAATTGCTTAAGAGTTGCCTCGTAGGTCTGCGTCTCAGTGATGATACCGTAGATGTCATCACTTGGGGCATGGTCAATGACCGCGTCGAGAATAAATCGGCCAACATGCTCTGGATAGAGTTCGACGTACATCTGGCCCAGGAGGGTGCCATACGAATATCCGATGTAGTTCAGCTTTTCCCCACCGAGAGCCTGGCGGAGCAATTCAAGATCCTTAATCGTCGAGACTGAGTCCATAAACTCTACGAGAGGTCCCGTCAATCTTAGGCAACTCTCTCCAAGGGCTTTATTGTGAGTGACCAGTGAATCAAAGCTCTCGTCATCCATCGCGAGGATATCTGGCTGGTTATTCCAGATGTCCTTGTCGCAAGATATAGGGTTGCTCAAGCCAATACCGCGGAGGTCTACGGAAATGATGTCGTATTTTTCAAGTATTTCTTGGCTGAAGGGAGATAAGCCTTGGCTTAATGACTGAAACATTATCAAAGAACTGGCGCCAGGTCCACCGTTATTGAAGACGAGATTTCCCAGAGCGGGAGCTGTCCCATTTCCTTTGCGACGGGAGACGAACAATTCAATCGTTCCAGTCTCTGGGTGATCGTGATCGATGGGTACTGTGAGTGTGCCGCACTCAAATTCGGTTGTCAAGTATAGCTCTTGGCTACACTTAGAAAAGCTAACAGTGCTTGACACGTCCTTTGTTTCTTTGGAAACACTACCCACCAATTGAGCCAGCGAAGAAAAAGCCAAAGCTAGGCCGCCGATCATCAGCGTTGGAGCCATAAGGATATAAATATTGTATATTCAATGAACGAGAAGGGGAAAAAAGAAGAACTTCACTTAGGTCTTGTCAAGAAAACTTGGAATGCTAAGAAACGAAGTCGATACATAAACAGGGCCAGAACATGGTGCCAGCAAGCAAATTTATACGTGTCACGCCGATAGAGGCTAGCAGGTAGCCCTACGACGAATGCGTTCATTAAGGCAGCCTCAAAGTAAAGTCAACATTCCAGTATTACTATTAAGTTTAGAGGATTTAGAGAGGAAGTGGTGCCTCGCCTAACAGCCGAGCTTAGTTGGTTTAAACTCGCCTAAACGTACCTAAATTAGTATTATCCCAAAATCAATGATTAATGAATGAGTGAAAGGGCAGACCATCTAATCCAAGTACAAAAACGGCGTCGGCAAACTTAGTAATTTGACTGATTTTGGTGGAGACATGATCGTTCTTCTTATTCAGAGGGCTTCTACTACTACATTTTGAAGCAAAAATTCTGATAAAGCCAGGAAATGTTTACGCACATAGTTCGATAAATAGCTAGACCAGAATCGTAGTTGGACTTAACAAGATAGTCCGGTGGCTTGAATGTCAAGGACAACTCAAGTTCCAACAGGGGAGATGGATAAACCATGTGGTGCCTGTAGGTAAAGACTAATTACCTTATAAAGAGTAGCAAAGATTACAAACTCTTAACTATTCTTGATACGTCTCATAATTATCAATAGCCCTCCTCAGAAGGGCACCTCTAGTTGAGTGCGGAGGAGTTAATAGTTTGAGTGTCGCCCTAATTTCTTACAGGGTTACCTCTTCGCTGAAATAATGCCAATCATGGTAATTGTAATCCGCTTACAACGCGTGAGTGCCAGGAAAATCGGAGACTTGGCATTAGGAGTATCGGAGTGCAAGACTAGGAGTACCGGAATACTGGAGGAAACTAGACTTGGCATGCCTTAACCCCGATATAGTAGATATAAAAGCTAAATATATGGTCTCTGAAATAAGAGGAATACAATTGAAATTATCTATTGTTCTTCATTCTTATCCTCCCTTGACACCTATCATTGAACAATACGCCATGTTCCCTCATCATGCTGCTAGAAAGTGCCTTGCCCTATTCTTAATGGTATATTATTCGAATGCTCAACACACTTTACTCAAAGGGGGGACAATTATTAGTTTTCAAGAAGGAGAAAATTCCCTACAGGTCATTCGAGATGGTTCTCTTCTAGTAACACAAGATCGGATCACTGGAATATACAGGGCCGGAGAGACACCTAATTCCAGTCTAAACTACTCAACAGTTGACGTTACAGGCAGAATCATCACACCAGGATTCATCGATACTCATCGTCACGGCTGGCAAACTGGTCTTAAGACTCTCGGATCAAATACTAGTCTTTGGGAGTATTATGACCGTTATTCTGAATATGCGGCGGGAAGTTCATATGCTATCGAAGATGTCTATATTGGCCAACTTGCAGGCCTTTTCGAAGCTCTCAATGCCGGTGTAACTACAACCCTTGATCATGCGCACCACACTTGGTCCAATGACACCTCAAAAGCAGGGATTCAAGCGAGTATCGACAGTGGAGCTAGGGTATTTTGGTCATATGCGTTTCATGACCTGCCGGATTTCACAGTCTCTGAACAGTTTGCTAATTTTCGAGATATTGCGGAAGCCGGAACATTCAAAAACACAGCTACAACTCTTGGAATAGCTTGCGACTTCTTTGGACCTGATCCTACCCTCGAAAATGTTCAGAGGGTTGTCGAACTAGCCTTGTGGGTAACTGTACCTACTTGGCAAGATGATTTTGCTGACTATACCACAGAGAGTTTAATGTCGCGGTGGTCACTACGCATACCGTTGAGGGGCCTTTTGGAGGTAAGGGTGATCTAACGCTTCGATATACTCTAACTAACATTGATCAGCAAGAAACGGCCCTCTAGACGTCCATAGCGCCGGGCTCCTCAACACTACAATTCCGGTCGTCTTCTCTCACGCATCTTTTCTCACTTATCAAGATCACCAGCTACTCCAACTCACCAATCAGTACATTTCAATCACTCCCGAGTCTGAGATGCATTATGGTCATACACATCCAAATAACCACTTAGTTATGGACCAGGCTGCACTTGGTGTTGATACTCATTTTACCTTTTCTTCCGACATATTGACTCAGGCTAGGATATGGCTACAGAAAGCACGCTATACAATGTATAACTGGGCATTAAGTTCCTGGCGAGTGCCCTCTAATAACCCAATGTCTGCCAACCAGGCATTTCTACTCGCAACACGCAAAGGAGGTTTAGCCCTTCGCCGACCAGACCTCGGCGTTATTTCAGAAGGAGCCAAAGCGGACATTATCGTGTGGGATGGCACATCACCATCCTTACTTGGGTGGAATGATCCCGTGGCAGCAATTATGCTACACGCAAATGTTGGGGACATTGAGCATGTTCTTGTGGATGGAAAGTTCGTCAAAAAGGATGGCAAAATAACTAATCCTGACTATCCAAGTATCCGGGAAAGGTTTCTTAAGCACTCTAAAAAGATACAAGACACCTTCCTTGCCATACCGAAGCCGGTCCCTACTAAAGACGAGCATTTCAGAGGCGGTGGTGCAAAATTGATGCCAATGCCTCAGCTTGATGTGACTAGGGGAGATGGCAATGGATACGGGCCGGATTTTTTGCAGTTCTCAGGAACTCAGTGACGGAACATGGTATACGGGGTTGCGCCAATGTGTGTCAAAATGTCAAGTGTACGAAGTGAGATGAATGGGCGTCCTGTGGGTCAATGACGAGATTCAAACCACCGAGGAGATATTTAGAAATTCGCCGAGGCGAAATTACACAATTCGTGGGTCCGCTAAATCTGGTCTGACCTAGCATCCTTTGATCCCGCCAATTATGTGACTGGCCCAGGTGATCTGACCCGTAGATTCTTCTTCGATTGGGCTTAGTTCTCATTAGAGTGACAATATGGAGCATACGATATCTCCCTTTGACCGCGTTGAGACTGCTGGCTCACACTGGTCCAGGATTCCGAGGGGGGAAAGGCCAGTCTGTGATACTTGTGGCGATTACCAAATACAATTGCAAGTCAGGTACTCCTTGGGGTAAAGGGATGCTTTCACCGTATCTAGATTTTGCAGGGGTTAGGGTCTTCCGAATGCACTGGGGTTATAACTTATAAGTACACTGCTGTCTCCAAGTTTTTGGCGTGAGTCAACACCAAAGAATCTACTCATCCCAGCCACAGGCTTCATCGAATATACATCTGCCCACAACAAAAACCTTCTTTCGGGGGACATTGAGACTTGTTCTGGGAAAGAGCTCAACCTGCATTTGCGATGGCGCACGACCTGAACTGCCTCACCATATCCGAGCTGGAAGCTCTCGCCACACAGCGGCTAGACAAACAGACTCGCGACTACTACAACGAGGGCGCTGATGATGGCATCACAGTAAAAGAAAACATGTCCGCATACCAGAAATATCGTCTCCGTCCAAGAGTCCTCAGAAATGTATCCAATGTAGACAGCGGAGTTGATGTTTTTGGAACTCGTACCAGCGTCCCGTTTGGTGTTGCGCCTGCAGCCATGCAGAAGCTTGCCCACGAGGACGGAGAGTTGGCCACGGCACGAGCTTGTCGTACAAAGGGCGTAGCCTTAGGCCTCAGTTCCTTTTCGACTACAACCTTGGAGGACGTGGGGTCCGCGAGTGGAAACGTGCCTAATGTGCTGCAACTGTATCTCTTTGAGGAAAGGTCGCATAGCATTAAGATGATTCAGCGGGCAAAAGAAGCTGGATACAAAGCCATTGTGCTTACCGTTGACACTCCTCTGCTAGGCAGGAGGAATCTCGAGATTAGGAATCAGTTTCGATTGCCCCGTCACCTCAAAGCTGCCAACTTTGCCAGCGAGTCTGGGACTACAGGCACTCCACCCTCAGTTGCCAGCTTGAAAGAGAGCTCGCCTGGCTACCTCGATGGAGAGCGTCGCGTTCTCCCAGCCGGGCCAGTCACTTTCCACAGCCATGGACCAAACCCAACTCTCACGTGGGAGGAGGCTATTCCCTGGCTGAAGAAGGAAGCGTCGCCAATGCAGGTGTGGGTCAAGGGCATTGTAACGGCTGAAGATGCCTTGCTAGCTGTTTCCAACCACGTTGACGGGATCATCGTCTCAAACCATGGCGGACGTCAACTTGATGGAACCGTGGCTACTCTAGATGCGCTTCCTGAGATTGTCAAAGTTGTAGATCATCGCATCCCCGTCCACATTGACGGGGGTATACGACATGGAACGGATGTGTTCAAGGCACTGGCCCTTGGGGCCGATTTCTGTTGGGTCGGCCGGCCTGTGCTATGGGGTTTGGGATATGGAGGCGAAGCTGGAGTCGAGCTTTGCCTTCGCTTGTTGACGGATCAGTTTCGCCTTTGTATGGGCCTTTGTGGGGTTACAAAGGTCTCTGATATTGGGCCGGAATATTTGTTGAAAGAAGAGACGGCTAAGTTTTGGAGCCGGCTGTGAGTTCAACGGCCAATCTCACTCATGTACGTATAGATTATCCATGTTCCCAGGAGAAGATTGTCTCCTCCAACGCATGATTCAACACAGCGCACGAAAATGAGGGGTTATCTAAGACATAGAGCCTCCCATTGGCTGTAGAGCCTGGGGCAAATCTCGCATCCCAGATCCACCAGATCTCGTGACTTGATGATACCCCATAAATTGAAGCGTGGAGACTTCCACGCGGGATTTCCTACAATGGAACCGTCCGCTAGCGGCCTTCAGCTTTTCGAGCCATAGCATCGCATGTCTTTCTGTGATATGATTCTCTTTCTCACTTATCTATCCATACTACTTATAGCTAACATTCATACTATGGGCGATGTATGCCCACCCCCCGGTGCGAGCTCCCTCAAATGCGGCCTCTCGGCAGAAGAGAGCCTGCTGTGAATCTTGTCACCAACGCAAAGTGCGATGCGACGTTGATTTTTTTGGAAACCCCTGCACAAATTGTCGCCTAGATAATCGCCCATGCAGAATACGAGCGCAGTTGAAGAGGTAGGCTTTCATTTGACTTGGATGCCCATGAAACATAAACCTCTCTGGAAATAGTCTTGTCGGGCTGTTAACATGATAGTCACTTGCTAGAGGAAGGAAAAGAATATCAGACCAACGTACTAGCGAGGAAACATTAATCACCAGACGAGATCCGCGCACTGATGGCTCGCAAACCGAAATTCAACCTGAGGCGGCAGAATATGCTCGCCTTGGGGAACCATCAACAACACCTGCTAGGACAGTCCCAGCAGAAGGACTGAGTAACGGTGGGTGATTCACCATCATTTCTTACACAAAGGCAAACTATGAAAAACACCAAAACCACAGCCCTTGATAAGTCAGCTAAACAGCAGTAAACGGTATTCCTTTTACTAACACTAGTTCTGGGCGTTTCTGAATAGGCAACCGACTTTCAACAAACTTTTTTGTCCCATTCTATTATTATAAGTATCTTCAGGTGGCAGACTTGCAGCATCTATCGCCTTCGCAGATACACAATCTTGAACTCGAGGGTTGCTTTCAGGTCCCAAGCCAATCAGTTCTGAATGAGTTTATTCGTCAATACTTCATATACGTTCACCCCTGCCTCCCTTTGGTAAATGAAAGGACGTTTTGGTCCACCTATTCCAGGACCGACAACGACCAGCGCAAGACCAATAACTTCTCTCTGGCCCTTTTCCAGTCGATGCTTTTTGCCGCAACTAGGGTGAGGCAACTTGACGCACATTTAAGCAGGACATAGCTGACACAGTTAAGTTTGTCCCGATCAACATAATAAATGCTTGCGGGTTCGAAGACCTCAGAAGTGCCAGAAACGCTTTCTATCGCCGCGCAGAGGTGAGAGATGTATTGGCATCCAACTGCATGTCCTCACTCTGAACAAATGCCACAGTTACTCTTGACCCATAACTTGGAACGGGACAGTTTTGTGCTGGCGCAGACTTGCTTGCTCCTCTCTCTTCAGGCTACTTTATTCGAACCGAGCTTAAACTCAATGTGGCTCTCGAAAGCAATATCTCATGCCGAGCATGCTGGCGCCAACAAGTACTTCAATCAAGCTCCCATGGACGCCGGGCGCATTCTCGAAAATAAGCGGCTTTGGTGGTGTTGCATCCTTCGTGACAGGATGATTGCTGTCGGCGTGCGCCGTAGCATCCAAGTCACCCCTGATAGATTCGATTTCACAAATCCAGGACTGGAAGAAGCCGACTTGGCGGAAGAGATTGATACGTCCGAGGTTTACGGTCCCGAGATGAAAAGTCTCCTGTTGAGAATAATCGTTGCGCAGTGTGCGCTAGCCGTGGCGATGACATGGACTATGGCAGTGGTTTATCCAACAGGAGATTCATCATCTCAGAGTCTCTCGTCTGCAGTGTCTCAATTGGTTACTTCCATGATGGAAATTGAACGAGGGAATACAGAACTGGCAGTTTGGGCTCGCAGATTTAAGACGGATCTCACAGATTGCATCCGCCCAGATAAACGACTAGGAGCACTGGAATCATCTGCAGCAGTATTTGCAGACATGACATTAATCCACTACTAGTATGTGAAGCACCTTGGGAAACACAATCAGTTCTGTGCATTGACCGAATCTCCTAGCTCGACCCAAGTTGCCCTCTACAATCATTTAGCACTGGTACTTCAAAAGCACCAGTCTCAACTTGAAGACTATGAGTTTCGCTTTAACCGGCTTAAAAGCGACTTGCAATTAGCCATCGCAAATGTGACAGACAGATTCAAAGGTTTGACTGAGGAGGGTCTTGTACAGCGTCTTCCAATTAGCGCGTAAGCTCTTATCCCTTTAAGAGACCGATATTCCTTTCTCTAACTACACGGCCAATTGCCTTGAAGCTAATTGCTCTGATAGACCACCATGCTCAGCGCTCCCTGTTATTTTGGAAAACCTCGATCTGAAACTCTCGTCTTTGGCAGAAAAAGCCAACTATCAGCGGCAGCTTCACGGCCCCAACGACATCATAGCTCTCTTGGGTGATCAACACGACTACACCGAGTGTGTGAACATTGCGATAAATAGCCTTCTTCCCGTGGCCAATGCAGAAATCCAACAGTTCTTCGCGTCCTGGAACGGGCTAGCTGGGATCGAGGGGGGAGGCACAAATGGCATCAGGTTGACGATATGGTCCCCCACCAGCTGGTCAGATGTATTCTCGGAGAATCCGATGATCTATCTGCGCCTGTCGATGTCGCTTGATTTTGCCCTTTCCAGGGGCAAAGCGCCGCAACTTACGGATCTACCAGAATGGACACATGAAACGCTGGTTGTGCCGACGAATTTGCATCTCATCTCACCATCAATGACACAAATGGTGCTATCAGAAGCGGTGCTGCCGTCAGAAGAGGAACTAAACGGGGTGGATGATTTGACCGGCGATGATGCTGTTTTGGAAGAGTCGAAGCAAACCTGTAAGACTACCTCGCAGTTGATATACCATATATGTTGTGACACTGACGCGTGTGGTGCATTATAGGGCAGGCTGGTGAACCTAATATCCTTCGGGACTGGCCATTTGTAGAGGATATAGAATTGCTTGAGAGCTTATGATGATTAGACTCTGTTGATTTTGTTCTGGCTATTATGTTCTTATAAAGTGGATGGTCTGCAATTATTTCACCCTTGTTATCCTCGAAAAAGATATGACATGATGTTGAGAGCTTTATGAAAATGGAATGAACATTGTGCACCCAATTGACTCTTCAGTTGTGATCATACACAAAGAAAACTCCCAGACCCGCAACGTACTGCGCTTAATCCAAATATACTGTAGTCCAACAACCAGGGAGCGCGTGCGAGGGATTCTTATGTGCTGGTGGAGATTGTCTAACGAAAGATCTCAAGGGAGATAAGCGGCTGAAATATATGACGCAACAGGCAGAGGTGCGGGGTTTACGACGCATCCATCTGTTAAACAGTTGACCACAACACCTCGTTTGTTATGGCTCTCTGCTACTCTTGCGAAAGGCTTAATTTCCCAATAGTAACAGAAGGCCAAGCAACCGAAGGACGGGCCCTGTTCCGAAGTGTGGCCCGGCTCAGGGCATCCGCAAAAACATGCAAGTTATGCACACTCTTCCTAGATGCTATATCCAGTATCAGGCTCAAGGGTATTCGGAATGGCGAGGTCACATTCTTCTCAGAAGCGCCAAATGCGCAAGGCGACCCGGTGGGCATGTCTCGAGTGTTTCTTCGTGTTGGTCATCAAGTTGGCCGTCACCTCAGCGTTTTCACCCAGCAAGGTGTGAATTAGCTCCATATCCTCTTTACTCTAAATCGAATGCCAATATGAATTCACAGATAGTCCTGCCGCCAATGCTGGAATTGCCACTGGAAGGCCATTGTCCAAGGGTTATGACTTCAAGCTCTACAAGCAATGGTTGTCATCATGCAGCCTTAATCACAAATGCGGTGGTGCGTTGGGCAGTTCGGAAGATCTACCCGCCAGGTTTATCAAGATCAGTGAGGGTGGCACAGTCCCTGAGATACGTCTAGTCTCGTCTGCAGATATCTCAACCCGCTATGCTGCCTTGAGCTACTGTTGGGGGGGCAACTTCACCGGTGTCAAGACAACAGCAGCAGTCCTACAAGAGCACTACAACCGAATTGAGTTTTCTCACCTTCCAAAGACTATAATGGATGCAATTGAGATCACCAAGTCATTAGAAATTGAGTATCTCTGGGTGGATAGCCTTTGTATTACTCAAGACGACACGGAAGACTGGGCTTCCGAGTCCAAACAAATGGCAGGGCTCTATCGCTCGGCAGCAGTTACCATTGTTGCAGCATCTGCAGGCAACGCTAATCAAGGTTGCTTATATCCGGCAAGGGTCGCTCCTGATTTTGTTGAAGTGCCAATTACTATCGCAGCAACGGGAGACCTCTCAGTGGTGACTTTCGCAAAATACCGGGGCTCAATTTCCAATGATTTTGTCGAAAGTCCATGGAATAAGAGAGCATGGTGTCTTCAGGAGTATGTTCTGTCTCCCCGTCTCCTATACTTCTTTGAAGATCGCGTCGTGTGGCAATGTCAGGAGATACTGTCAGCAGATGATTACGCGGAACTTCGACGAGACAAAACTAATAACACAATAATACCGCGACATTTTTCCTTACACAACCCAAAAGATCTGGAATCATGGTTTGTTCTGGTGGAGGAATACTCGGGAAGACATTTGGCGAAATCTGATGATAAACTCATCGCCGTGGCCGCTTTGGCAACACACTTCAGTCCTTACTTAGAAAGTGAATATCTTTCTGGAATCTGGTACAAAGAAATGCACAAAGGATTGCTCTGGCTGTCAATAGACAGCAAAATGCAGACACCACCGCGAGTACGCGCCCCCTCGTGGTCTTGGGCCGCTTTGGATGGGCCGGTGAGTCATCTTCATAGATTAATGTCTTCGCCAGTGGTCCTAGAAACCACGATTCATAGGTGGAAAAGCACCGAGTACAAGGAGGCTAGTTATAATTGGTCACGGCCGCATTTGTTCCTGACGGCTCGTTTGCGGCCAGTCACACGCTCATTCTCTTTAATGAGAAGCCATGAATTTGAAGAAGTTGCTTCCGTTTCAATACAAGGAGCTCTTCTATTGTATCGCAGCTTAGAGCCTCGATTGCTTTATGACGCGGAGGACAAAGTTTGCGGTTGGGTCATCTTTGACCAAGAAGGTTTTACAGAGGAACAATTGTTCTGCTTACAAGCTGCTAGAAGCACGCATAACGGTATTTTCCAAAGCAACCATGTTATCATACTGAAGCGAAGTGAATCTAGCAGCAACATTTATGAACGGGTTGGAGCAGGGGAGGTTCTTGAGTCTGATTTCTTCGATGTTGTTGAAAGAAATGACGTTATTCTGATATAGAAAAGGAAAATAGGGGCAATGACACTGCCTTTAGATATCACAACACAAGATCCAGCCGTATAGGAAACGGCTAGATACAATTAGGTGATAATGAGGTTCTGTTTATCATTAGCAAAATCACAGCATCTGGCGCGTATCGATGGCTAAGAAAGCAATCCATCTCGCTGCAGCCATTTACGAGGTGATAAACAATGAATTTCGGTTGTTTTATTATCAATCTCTTGAGAATGAGATATCGCAAGGAATCTCGAGCTCCTAAGCTACACATCGACTGAGATGTGGGGGAAATTTTCTGGACCCGGTATATCATAAGGCCGCGAATCGCTTTATGTGAGAACAAAAGCGGCCGCAACCATAAATAACGTTACGCTAGAGCAGACTAAACAGTGCCTACCAGTATTAGCAACTGGAAGCTAAGCATTCCATGCTTTTACAAGTGATTCAACCGTGTTCTCACAATTTTCAGAAGGTCATTATTGTGAGATCGGATGAGTAGACGTCTCATGGGACAAAGACATGAGATAATATAAGACGAATACAGGTGATGTCTCATAGGCAGCAGTGGTAGGCCCTCAGCAGCCCTTACTACTTGGTCTTGGTGACTCAGATCACATTCTTTTGCTCTTTTTGCTAACCTTTCAGGGCTAGTTCAACCTCGTGCAATGTTCTGCATCAAGATCAGCACCAGCAATGTGGGGGGTGTAGACGGAACTGGCATTCCAGCTGAAAGTGATTTCAACGATATGAGAACGACTAGCCGGAAACCGGGGAAATATGGTTCAACACTTTGCCGTTGGCGAACAGCCAGAGAAATCCTCTCTCCGCCCTGCTCAAATGCTCATTCCTCTTCCTTGCCAGCCGCGTGCTGTTCATGACATCTCCATTGCCTCCCTGCTGCCGTAGCGAAGAGAGGATACTCACCACCCGCAAGCACATACAGACACACATCCCCAAATGGCGACGGCGTCGTCTTGCAAGCCCGGCGCCGGGCGCAACAGAAAGTTTGATGACCCATCGTTGGATGATATCATTTTGATTGACCAACTCAAATCCGAACGATGGGCTGAGGGCCTCGCCATCAGGCCCAACGGTCACGCCCTGGCGACCATGCTCGAGCACTCGGAGCTATACATGGTCGACCTCAACTTCTCAACCGCCATTGCGTACGAAGAGAATGGGCCCGCGGCCCCCAAGCTCATCCAAACATTCCCGGACTGCAACGCGACCTACAACATCCGCCCGCTGATCGGTACCGAAGACGAGGAGTATGCCGTCCTTACCGGCCACTCCGACACATCTCTCGGCAAGTTCGAGAAGATACGCCTCTGGCACCTTTCATTCGGCCCCAGTGGAACAGACACAGCACCTACGATCAGTAAAATAGCCGATTTACCCGATGCCCTGTTCGGGTTTGGCATGGCCATCCTGACCGAAGATGCAATCGCTGTCGTTGACCCAGTAAAGCATTGCGTCTGGCGTGTGCGCATTTCTACTGGCGAGGTGAACATGCTCCTTGATGATCCTCCCACCATGGCTCCCTCCTCCAAGGACGAAGCGTTTGGAGTCAATCGACTCCAGGTCGCGGCGGGCTATTTATGGTACGGCAATTTCAGCACCGGGGTGTTGAGCCGCGCCCCGTTCGAGTATACTGAGGATGGGCGAGACGTGCGAGTGACGGGCCCTGCCAAGCCTGTCGCTGAAGGGTGTGTACACTGTGATGGAATCGCCGTGCGGAACGACGGAGCGGCCTGTTACGTTGTTAGCTTCACTGAAGGCTGTCTATGGCGAGTGGACGTTGATTCGGAAACAGGCAAGGGCTCGCCTGTAGTCATGTTCGAGGACCTCATCTCACCAACAGTCATAGAGCTGATGTACTATCCATTCGACGAGAAACCCACTCTATACATTGTCTGCTGTGGTGCTTGGAATCCTGAAGACCTCGATGGTGAGCGTGGGGGATATCTCACGCTTGCTAATGTGGACAAGTCAAAGATGCAGATTCATGTTACTGTTGAGATGACTGTAAGCTATGAGGATGTGTAAAAGTCTGAATAGTATATAGAAGAGAGAAGTTTATTATTTTTTTCTTTATTTATTATAAATTATTTTTTAGATTTTTTTAATTAATTATAATAAAAGATTTTTATTAAAATTATAATTCTTTTTAAAAAAATTATATTATAAAAAATTAATATTATATTTTTTTTTTTTTAGAGTTATTACTATATATAAGGGAGATATTCTAAAATTAGGCTATATATAATAAGATCTATATAACTTATTTTTTTACTTATTTATAGTCTATACCTAACCTTTAACTCTATTCCTTATACTTTACTTCTTATATAAGCTATAGTAAGATAATAACTTTATTAAAAAACTCTAATAAGATCTTACTAAGTATATAACTTAGCTATAGACCTTAAGGGGGAAATACTTATTAACTATAATTAACTATAAAACTCTAAATAAATAAGTATATAAGTATATAAGTAAGTAAATAAATAAGCTTATTATTACTAATTACTAACTAACTAT